GATGACTAATCTCTGTAAGCAGATTTCCGTTTTCTTGTGAGGTCGGATGGATTCTAGGGTGATTTCCCAATTTGTATAAAGGCATTCACTATGGGTCTCAAAATACAGGTTTTCAGCCAACTTTTATTTTAAAAACTCCGGTAATTGTTCCTCCCAGTAACAAAATTTAACTGGTGCTCTGTCTCAGTGGTTGTTCATCCAATGCAAATGTTGAATCCAGCAGAGCGTGATACTTTTTGAAAAAGCCCTGCATTAGAAGAGATTTATTCAAACATTTCAGAAGCATGAACAGATCAACTAGAATAAGACAGAAAGGTAGTAAGTAATCAAACAGTTGTTTTGTGAATAAGAGAAGCTAACAGTTTAGTGCAGAAATTATTTAAATATGCTGTATTTTCCTCTGTTTTCTCTTTGTAGAGAGCGTAGAAATGTGTAGAAAAGGCATGACTTGCCTTGCAGGACTTTTTCTTTCCTCAGCCATCCAGAGGTTTCTACTAATTCTGATTGAAGTAGACTCATGGGATAATCCCCTTTCTACTGCTATAGGTGAACGCAGCACAGGGTACCTGCCTCTGGAGCACATGATTTACCATACAGACATATTTCTAAATAACCTGTAAGTTTTTCTCCAGCTTCGATTTAGGTCCTGGTCTTATAAAACTGTGCGCAAAGGAATTATCACCTTTTAACTAAAAGCTCTATCTATTTTTTTTTTTAATTCACTAAAGATTCGTCAAATCTTTACCATTTCACTGATTTTTGAGGATTGTGGTTGTTTTCGTTGACATTTCTCCTTGAAATGATTACAGTTTTCTTTGGCCTACGTATTTTCTCCTCTTAATCAAAATGTGTTGGACTAGAAATCACTGAATGCTACAGAAATTAACAAAAATAATGTCTCATTTTGAACTCTTTGCATTGCATATTCCTAAAGAGAAGTCTTATGTGCACAATGTGGTTTCTACTACCACATATGAAATACTCAGAAGTAGTAAAATATGTCCCAGGCATTGGATCTATCTTTGAGTCTCGTAGAAAGGGATTTGATTAGTGCCAAGAAAATATATTTGAACTAGAAATAAAATAAGGCTAAGTTGGTTGCCATACAAATATGGTTGTGATGATGTGTGAAACATTAAATTTTGTGTATTAATTAGGAGGAGGAGGAAGGAGGAAAGAAGTGGAAGACGGGGATAACCTGATAAATCTTTCTTCCTTTTGGAAAAACAGGAAAAGAAAATAAAGTAGAACTGTTGCGAAAAGCCTAGCACTGCCTTCTTGATAACTAGTGCTTCACTGGTGCTTCAAGATTATTGTTAAGTGACTTCAGACTCCTCCAGGCCACTTTCCTCAGCCTTTCACTTTCTTTCTTCTATCAGTTGAATCCATATATTGAACTAATGCTAAAAAAGATAAATCTTAGTTTTCTTTTACAATTCGTATTAGGATACAAATATTTCAACTGCTTGGAGTCCACTGATTTTAGCAGCTGCAGGTCTTGACTCTGAGATAACTTCATTGAAAAGACCTAGAGTGACAACTGAGGGCCAGATGATTACCTGTCCATCATCCAGAAATTCCCCCGTAGCACCAGTTTTCTTTCCTTCCTCCCCTATCCACACGGCATCATTCATTCTCTTTTGGGATCACATATGGATTATTTTACAGTTTATATTGGGTGATGGAAGAGAATGTTCATGGATTCTGTACAATCGTAAAAATAATGTATTAAACAGTAATTAACTCCAATAGTGTGAGATATAGTTGTTCTGTTTATCCCCAGATGCAAATAGCTCATCAGGTCTCCACCCATTAACAGGAACCTGTGGAAAGCCACTCCAGGAAAGGAAGCCCTTGCTGGGCTAGGTTATAACTTTCCTCACAACTGCATGAAAGAAAAGGAATTACCACCTTTATCTTCTGTCAAAGAGAGTTCTTTATAATACCAGAGAGTGTGGAAGGTTTCCAAGACTCAACTGGTTGAATTACTGAAGTACTTAAAACCGGTCCCATTGTGAGCAGGTGGTTGGACTAGAGACCTCCCGTGTTTCTCTCCAGCCTGAATTATCCTATGATTCTTTGATGTTCACTGTCCTGAATCAAAAATAGGGCTTTTTGTGCATATATATGTTGCAGTTATGTTTTTTTGTAATATTTACCAATCACATTTGAGTTTGGAAGCATCAAAAATTGGATTAGAAAATCGTCTGGCTTCTCCAATTCCATCACATACGTTTTTCCTGGGGCTTCATGGGAGAATTTGGCTGGAGAGATGTACAAAATGCAGTAATGCTCCCTGTTTTCTACACAGATTTTTTTAAAAAGTCTATGTTGGAATTGGCCATATCTCAAATCTTACTCTCTTTTTTGGTTACTCTTTTTTGGTTATTAATACATATGAGACAGTGCGTGTGAGAGAGTCTTCTATCATTTTGTTTGAATTCAAGTAACCTTTCTCATTTTGCTGCTTATTATCATCATTATGAATGAAAAAGTGAAACCACAACTCTTCTGTAGACACATATATTTTGGTTGCTGTGGTGGTTTGTTGATGAACAGTCAGCTATATTCCTTGATTTGTTTCCTACATTTTTGAAATGTCTTTTAAGCATTATGTTTGTAATATTTTTAATGTACTAATGATTACTGACTGAGTTTTAGGGTGTTCTATTTTGCACTTATTCATTACGTTGTTCTTTTGCTTCACATAAAATGTTATTGATGATCAGTTTCTTCAGATAAATTTTTAAGACAAAAACTATTTCCGATCATCAACTCTGCCTGTTTAGCCAAGGAACTTAACATGGTCTCTGCCATTGATGTCAGCAAGAATAGGATTAAGGAGTGGGATTTAATTCACGTAGCTGTAACAGAAGAAGTCAAAAGTAGCTTTAGCAGTTAAATTACTTGTGACAGAATTGTTTGTTTATGGCCCTGATATTCCTGTGGTATGTTTTTGAATGATAGAGCATTTGAGCTGACTTGCACGTCTGAAAGATTAACATTTTACCAATATTCAGTTACCTTATTCTATGTTCTTGTTAGCCTAAGAGGCAGTTTGACTAAGAAATGAATGCTAATAAAATGCCTTTTTAGTAATTCATTTTGAAAACCGTTTGACCTTAACTACAATGAAAGTAGACTGTAAAAATCATCATAGATTCCCTTCCCTGAACTTTTCACAATGCTGAAAAATGACTGAGGGAAAGAAGCAAGATCCAGTTACTGTACCCTGTTTGCACAGCTGTACTTCATTGAGTGGAGGCTTGTGTTACACACAGTTTGTGATAGGAAGTAAATGCTTTTAAAACAACTTAGGAGACAGGTCTTTAACCTCCACCTTTTCAGATGCTTTGTTCACTCATTTAGCTTCTGTCGAGGTCTTGGGAATCATTTCAAATACAAATTATTATTGAGTACTGAAGCTCACCTGAATAATTCATCTCCTAGTGCGCTCGTTAGGCAAAGATGCATTAAGATGTTGTTGGGGATTTTGAGAGAGAGATCACTAATTCCTGATACAGCGAAGGCTTGTTCCTTCAGGAACAAATGCATTTAAAGCAGGAAAAATTCTCAGATTGAACGTTAATGTTTCATGATAGTTGAAATTACAGTTTTAATTCAGCAATTGTTAGAATTTTCAAGGGCTTAGAGGACACTAAAAATGATATTGTCATGTGAATAAACAAATTGTCAAAATTTGTTAGAATTAAAATTCTCAATATCTACCATACAAGACTGTTGCCTCCTCTTACAAGACCCTCTAGTCCCCAAAATGGTGGAGACACCTTGAAATTCCTAAGAGGGTTTTTGGCATTACTTTACATTGCAAGTACAGGTTAATCACAAGACCTAAACTGTTTGATGTGAGCTTGGCACGAGGACTTTAAATACACATTGTAAGATCATTCTGTGAATAGGATTCTAATATCTGCCAAAGTCTAAATGCTCTGGGAAAACAAGTCGGTGGCAATGGGAGCATGCAGCTGGCAGACAGCCAGTTAACTTTGAATTTGTGTATCAGTTGAGGCTTTGTGTATACTTCATCCCTTGAAGTACACATGACCTTAAATTTAAGTTTATGCTAAATAGGCATTATTTGGGTTGCATTAACCACCCATTTTCTCATTTTGCTGTAATTAAGGTCATACATTTGATGACCGTGAATGTTTCTATCTTAACATCCCACTTAAGACTGTCCAGCTACCAATATACAATGCAGAGGGGCCACTTAGATCTTCATTTAGTGAGAAAAAGCCTTGAAATATGATGAGAATTTTTTCACTGTCTTGCATTCGAGGTGTCGTGCCTTCAGAGGACATGACTGACACTTATTTTGCCTTTATTCCAGCAGCTCTTTTTGCACTGTAACACAGTAGGGCCGCTGCTGGGGCTGGCGTTCCCAGCAAGCAGCCTTTGCCTTTTCTGTTTGTCACTAGTGGGCAGACATCGGTGCGTTTTGTGGTCCATGGCACAAGTGGACCTGAAGATTTAAACGTTCCAGAAAGCTGTAAGCATGACAGCAGACACCAGTGAAGTTGTTTAAATTTGAATATTTTTTGGAAAGCTTTTGTCTTCCTTCTAGTCTTGAAATACAACTTGAGTAAATAAATGCAAGCAGGAGAGCATCCTCAGTCCTTGTCCCTCTGAACCCGTAACACAGCTCCTGCTGACTCGTGTGGCCAGGACTCAGCTCAGGCTTTCTGGCCATTCCACTCTTCTCTCGCACATCCTTCTGCTCTTCCAGCAATGATTTCAGTTCCTGCCACAGCCTTACCTTCCTCAGCATGACAGTGACTTGTGTGACTCTACTGATATTTAACCCAGCCTACCCAGTCTCAGCTCTCAGTGTTAGGTTTTATTACCTGCTATGCTATGGTAAAGCAGCAAAGTGTAAATTGAGGGATTAGTTGCGCTTAGCTTAACAATAAAAGGCCTTGGGAAACAAATGTTGCTTTATTCTTTAGTACATACCTCATTAGAAATTATGTGTTTTGCAGAGGTTAACATACTGTGGGCAGCGCACCAAGTACATCATAGTTCTGAAGATTACAACTTATTCACAGCCTTGAGACAATCTGTGCTGCAGAAGTACACCTCCTGGGTAAGTGGCACGTGATTTGACAGATGAATATCAACAAGATTTAGTAAAAGTGAAAACGCAGTGTTTATTTCCCTCCAATGAAAACCATACATTTTTAAAGATGTTTGACACTGAAAGCGCAGAAGTTGAAACTGAAGAATCAGAGAATCATAAGTTTTAAAAACACATTCATTGATGGTTTCACAGTAAACTTGAAAAGAAATACAATAGTTAAGTTTAAGAACATTAGTTATATGCCTGCATTTATATTTTCATAACATTTTGGGTAAAATGGGACAATTTTTTTTCATTTGGTTATTCATGCATAAGTACAGCAAAAGATCAGAGAATAACATAAGTGCTCTAGAATATGTATAACTGAAAGGAGCAGGGAGAGAAATCACTGCTGAACATTGCTTTGGACATGCAAATGTATTTATTTGTCTCTGGTCATTCGTAAGTATGAGCGGTATGCCACTATTTTTACCTGGTGTTCTTTCGGATATTATTTATCTTAAACAGTGAACTGTGTACATATGCAATATAAATAAAAACAAATACTCATTCCCAGATTTAAAAATTTGTATTTCCAAATACTTTCATGAATGTAACACACTATTCAGTGTTTAGTTTTGGGCCCGTGGTAACTGCTGATTTCCTTGACTGCGATCTCTTTTGACTCTATTTTTTGATTCAGAATGTTTGCTTCATTGTTGTTCGTTTCTTTTTTTTTTAAAAAAAAGAATAATAACTTCAAAATTTGAATTTTCAGAATTGGAGTTCAAAAGCAATATTCACTGTATTTTTGTGTACATAAAATATATACATGCTTTTCTCCAGTGAGATGGAGGAAACCCACAGTCCTCTGGCAATCTCTACAACTGATCTATGAGCAAATGAGTCAAAGGCAAGAGCATGTGCTCACACATGCACATCACATGCAGCTCCATCAACTTGAGTAAAGTTAGTCTGGATTTATGCTCACATAACTGAGCATGGACTTAGCCTGTTGTTCGTAACTTTTTTGAGCCCATGACATTAAACGAGGTCCCCTAAAAAATGACAAATTCTTCTGGAAATTGTGAAACATACTCTTTCTTAGAGTTGTTTCTTAAAGTCTTCTCTGTAAATTTTTGTTATTTTTTTATTCAGAAAAAAATCATCTGATGTTAGTAGGAGTGCCTCAGATTTAAATGACCACAACGAACAATAGCGGAAGGGATGTATCTCTGTCACAACTCTGCTTCCTATGTAAATACTGCCGTGTTAAAGATTTAACCTTTGCACGTTTACCCATTGGGACCATATGTGCAAATGCTTAACAAAAACAATAATTCAAAAAAGACAAAAAGCCTGTGTGTACGTATGGGTGTGTGCATGAGCACTTGGCCTGCCTGCGTGATTTTGAGAGTGGTACCTCAGAGAGCATAAAATATTCGGGAAGGCCAAGACATCTGGCCACCTTAGATTGGGAAGAACATCCTCAGGACCACACTGGTATCACTTGGCAATGTATATGTACATTTAAAATTCGTTTGCTTTGAGCAAAGGGAAACAAACCACAATGCTTTTGTATGCAGGTTTTTTTTCGTGGTATTAGCAAAACGTTTGGCTGATTGAGGTTGATATTGATTTACCTCCCCCCAGAACTTTTGAGAGGTATGCCTTACTGTGCATGAGCACAATTCTTGCTAATTCTTACAGCGTTGCTATTGTTTTGCACTGCCAGACTTGTCCAGAACCTTGTCGATGCATCTGCCTCGAAGCTGAAGCTTGGTGAAACCTTTAGTTAATCCCTGAGAGCTGACTGCGCACTGTTGGATGCAGTTGGACGTTGTTTGTTGGAGGCTGTGAGAAAGTTGTGGTGGATGGTGTGGGGTTGTGGGTCTGTTCTGCTGCCAGCTCTGTATGTCTTTTAAGTTAAACGTTATAAGATAAATAAATCAGCATATTAATCTGTGTGGACTGTGCTCAAGCTGATTGAAAAGATGTGAAATGAAAGAGAAAAATATGCTTGAAGCACAGTCCAGTGGTGTGAGATGATCTCCTGAACTTGGAACTAAACGTGCAATGCTTCAGTGTTTCTGCTGTTAAGACTGAGGGGCTGAGAGGTGGTTTTGAAGCCCATTTTGCAGGGGGGAAAAAAAAAAAGTGTGGATAAAAATATATATTCATTTTTAAGAAGAAATCAACAAGCTAATGATATATCAAATTTTTGCTTCTGATGAAACAGTTAAAAAAAGTGTACTTGTGAAAGGAGAGAGTTGCATACACACCTTGAAGAGCTGTGATTTAATTCTTTGCGTACCAGTTCTCAGTTTTCCTCCAAGGGTAAGATCTAATTGCAAATATTAGATCCATATTAATTTGATAGCTTTAGACTATACATTTAGATAAAGAGTGGAATTATGCCTTGTAAGTTTAAAAAACAGTGAAAACATCTATATATAAATCTGGAAGGGGAGTAAGTAACACTGTTCTTTTCAGCACGGAGTCACGAAGTTCACTTCTTATCTACTGAGGAGTCTGCCAGGACTGGGATCTGTAAGGGATTTTATTATTTTTTTTAATCCTTAACTCTTGCAGACTCCTCACAGAGGTATAGCCCACATGAGCTAGCAGGCAGCAGCCCCGCAGCCTCTTGGTGGCCCCTTCGGTAGCCCCGCTGCTCCTTCGGGATCCTGCCTCGGCAAGTGACCCCAGGGACACCGTGAGGAATCCGAGGGGCGAAACCCATCCCTCCTGCAAAACCTCAAGGGTTTCCAGCTTTTCTCTTTTTGCAGTGCAAGCATTTATAAGCTGTTACTTATGAAAAGAGGAGGAGAGAGGCAACGCACCCGTGCAAAAAGGGCAATGCCTTCTTCAGGGTGAAGGCACACAGCTGCGGTGCAGCAGCCCCGCATCCAAATCCTTCTCCATCCCCTCGCTGAGTGCGTTTCCCATCAGGTTATCAGTTATTGTGGCTCTCTCTCAATCTCTGTTGCTGAACCCACAAGTGGGAAAAGATCTGTGAGTGTGATAAACGTTTTTCTGCAGTTTCGACCAGAAATTTCTCCCTTGGAGCCAGGAAAGCTTTTCTTCTACAGATTAGTGAAAGCTGGTACGTTCCCATGAAATGTTTTGATTTGATGAATTGGCATTTCCAATGAAAAACTATTTAATGATTTTATTTTTTTTTTCCTAATGTTGATCTTCTTGTTTCAGTGGAACCACAAATAGGAGAAGCTAACTCTTCGGTATGGGAGAGGTTTTCATTCCTCCCTCTGGGTTCTACGTCTGTAAATGATCTTTGAAATCTTTTCTGTGCAAAAGAAAGCTTACATTGCGAGGAAACATGAGGCAGCCAGGAAAGCATTCTTCTTTGTCAAATTTACCTGTAGGGTTATATAAAATTTCCCTCATCTCACCACTTAGCAGCGAAATCCTAATACTCATTGTGAGAAGTAGGTTAGAAAATAAATAGGAAGATGATACTTCCTTCCCCTCTGAGTCATCTGTAAATACCACCAAATTGCATCTGATACTTCTAGGGGGGAAAAACATATAATTTTTAACCCTGCTTTCAGTCCTGCAACCTATTCCACGAATAATCTGAAAACCATCTGTTTTTGTTTTTTTTTTTTTTTTAAAATCGACTTCCTCTCCATTTCTTTTAAAAAATTTCCTGCTCTTATCATGCCATTAGACAGGTACAATCAATAATAAGAGAAAACTGCAGTAAAACTGCAGTGGGTTTGCTTAAATGTGGCTATATGTCCTACTCCTTTGTTGGCTTCTTTGTAAGATAACCTTTGAGAAAAACCATGCCAGACATCTGGCTGTTGTGGGACAAATATCTCTCATTTTTTATTTTTTTTTGATAGCTCACCCAGTTTTAATAATTAAATACTAAGATGGTGCAGGCTAAAGGAGGGAGGAAAAAGGAACTCAGAAAAGAGATTGACTTAATGCCAGTGTTTAGGAAATTTCTTCCAAAGCATGGGAGACTTGCACTACGTTTTGTTTCAGAGCATGGAGAATTGTGGATTTGAAAGTCACTCTTCTGTTTAGTAGTCTACTGCACAAGGCATTCTGATCTGTGTTATTAGTTCTTAGAGACGAGTCATGCCCACCTCTGCTCCAGAATTTCACACCTAAATGCATCTGCCCAATGGCATTTAGTAGCTCCCTCCTTAGGTAAGAGTTACTGTGAAATTTTTTGACTTTCACCGACTGATTCTTAGGGATTGAATGGGCAAATTTCACCTTCCGAATATTTTTTGTTTCTTTTTTGTTTTATAAAGGTTATGCAAACACGTCAACCTTTAAGGATTAAAACAAAATAGCTGTTTACATTATTTCCCCAAAGTTCCAGAAGCTCAGCATAATCCTTCTACCCGCTTTGAAGTCCTTTATTTTTCGGAAAAGAACTTCCGAAGTGTTCAACCAGAGATGCTCCACATGTAGTTTGTGGGGCAGCTGTGATCCATGAAGCCTTTTGGATGTAGTTTTGATGTGGTGCCTGTCCCAGCCCTAGCAGGTGATACTGCAGTGGCTTAAGTGACTTTCTTTCTAGAGCTTCAGCCACTTTCTGTTGTTGCAGCCAGCAGACCAAGCTAGGATGGAGTGGATTTAGCACCTCAGGGCTGTGGTGACTTTCTCAAGAGCACTGATCACATCACGGGGGTGGAGGTGCATCTATTTCACAGCCCCAGCCTGACATCTTACCTATTGAGTAGTACTTTTGAGGAAAAAAAAAAAAAGAGGCAATATTGCCATTAAATGCCATGTATAGACCTACACTCGAGGAATTCCGGGCTCAGGAGGCCTGTCATGGCTATCAGATTGCTTTCTCTGATGTTCAAAGACTTGATTTTTGTGAGAAGGACAATAGGAATTTGAAAATGTGTTTTGCTAATTTTGCTGTGTGTCATAGGCAGTTCTTACCTGCTACAAAGTTGTTCCCTGAGTGGTAAAGACATTTAAAATTTTGAAGACTGTTTAGTTTAGAAACTACTGTTTAGTTTAGAAAAAAATCCCTGTATTTTAGGGAACAAATAACTTCTTGATGCAGCTGATATAGGACAATGTCAGGTAGGAAAACTAAAAGATAAGCCTTTTTCTGAAAAAAGCAGACTGACTTTTAACACATGAAGGTCTTGGGAGTCTTAGTTTGCTGCTCAGCCAGTTGAGCAATTAATTGTGAAATTCCTGGGACTTTACTCTGTAAGATACCAGTGCCTTACCTAAGTAAGCAGTTTTCTGAAACTGTTCTCATACTAACACAACTTTAGAACCCGGCAATATATCGGTGCTTCAAGGGAGATGCTGTGAGGAAGTTAGGGTGAGAATTTGTAATTAACTTTGAAAGCCAAGTGAGCTGCCTTGCCCTTATGGTCCTCGCATAGGGAGTTCAGATGGAAAAGCTATAGTGTTATAAATTCACACCTTGCTTACTCTGTGATAATTCTCTCGTGTAAGTGAACCCTACATGTCAAGGGTATGTTGCTGTCTGCTCTGTATAGTACACAGAATAAAAATCTAATCTCGGGATTGCTGAGGTATTTGCTTGATTTTTTTCTGCTTGCTCAGTGTGACTTTTGAGAAATCACTTTTGCATCAATTTATGACTTCTTTGCTATGGCACATCTAGTAGTAACCTAATAAGGAGTATCTCTTATCATGTCTACATTATAGAGGTATTAGAAGAAGCAATTAACTTGTGCAGCGCTTTGAGCTCCTGAGATAATACTTCATTCTGTCATCACAAGTTTAGAATTAAATATTTAATGTATATTTTCTTTTCTTTTTTTTTTCAGATTTTCAACTTGCCCATGGCTCTTTTCATTCCTCCTTCAGTGTTTGCTGTTCATCTACAGTTTAATCTACTTTACCAGTTTTGGATACATACAGAGGTAAACCAGGTTTTTAAACCATACCTAAACAGTTAGCCTGGAGCAGTGTCCTGGAAATCCACTAGCAGCTGATTTATTGTGTAAGAAAAATCTTTGTCTGCCTTCTTTAAGGAGAAACATCTGTTCGTTTTTATTCCTTTTTCTGAATATATATTGCTAAGTTTATAAGAAGCAATGAGGCCAGTTGGTCCCAATTAGATTTTTTTTTTTTAAAGTAACTGTAAGGAATCAAAACTTTTTCCTATTTTAATACTATATTTTCCTATCATGCAGCTTATTAAGCATTTCTGGCAGATACTGAAACTGATTTCATTTCTAAGATAAATATTTTAGAGAAAACTATCCAAACCCCAGTGCTTCTTAAAGATGATTTAGAGTTGCCACTGATGTCAGGTATTTTTTCCTTCTTAGCGCAAGTAATTCTCAGGTGAAAAATGCTCTTTGATTATCTGATGGCTATTTGCTTATGACCACACCTATTTATTTGGGTTTTGTGAGTGCATAGAGAATATCTAGTGTGCATACATATACAGTTAATAAACCACTGTATTAATTAATTAGTTTCCCACACTTGTCAGGTAGTTGAACAGCCTTCTGCCTTCTCCCTTGCTCTACAGCAGAGCCATGTAAAGGTATCCCATGTTATATGCCAGTAGCATGTTTGTCAGTAGCCCCTAGTGAGCTGCGGGCTAATTATCTCTATATCACGGACTCCTTTGATTAGTCTGGCTAAACAGATGCCTTTTTCCCTCTGTAATTTTGTTATGCAATCTATAGGACAATTCTTTTGGGAGCAACTTTATTTTCTTGAGCTGCTATTTTAGGTGACTGTGTTGCTTAAATTACAGTTATGTTTTCTGTGTCCTTCCTAAAAAAACCTAAAAAATTAAGAAAGCTACCTCCAGTGACCCAAAAGCAAGCTTTGTAGTTGAAATTTCACTTCTGTTGGGAACACTTCTAAAATCATGAATACTCATCTGATGTTCTGCAACACTGCGTGAATAGGAAAAGCTTACAATGAAATGTCACACACGTCACCAGAACTGGCAGAAAATCAAGCAATACACAATTAAGCAGCTTGTCAAAATGTTTTGGACAAATTTGAATGCTTTGAAAAGATACTAAAAGAATACTCTGAATCACATGCTAACAAAGTTTCTTTGACCATACCTTAGGTTCCCCAAACTGGTTTTACAGTGTTTTGTTGCTAAGAAAAATATAATCTGCCTCGTCTACTCCTTCTCTGATGTCTGAAGACATTTCTTCCTTGGCTGAAAGGTTTCTGACATTCTGCTGTGTAGCAGTAACTCAATGAGTCCCAGCACTGGTACCACAGTGTGAGTCTAAAGTTTCTAAAGTGAATTTCAGAGGCTTATGAATTGCCTACATCCCTTTAAAGCGCTAAATCCTTCATAGGGCTTAAAAGGAATTTCCATAGCGTATGTGCAATGTGCCAAGTTTAGACACTAGTCTAAACAAGAATGAATTTCAGTCTCAATGAAAAGATAAGAACTCCTTAATATTAAATTATTGTGCCAGCAGGAAAACAGTGGATCTTTTGTACTGGTCCAGTTGATCCAATCGTAGATCTTTGTTTACAAAGGAAGTTATTCTTAATGTTGATATTGCTGATTTTGTAGCACAGCTGAAATCAGTCGAAATATGTTGAAGTCATGCTTTAAGGCCAAAAATGATGTCAAAATAGAAATAGTGTTACACCATATATTAGCAGATTTCCTATTCTCAAGGTCCAAGGGCATAACAGAAAAGAGAAGGGAAAGGAGGGGAAATAGTCACAGCAATTTCAGTCATGCAGGTTTATATTAGCCAGTATTTTTAGTGAAATTAATATGATGCTTCACCATTACACTGGCTTATTTTTGCAACAATTATTACCATTTAGCTCTAATTTTTTTTTCTAACAAAACTTTTTTTAATTTTGACTGTTCTAGTTATCTTACAGAGATTCTAGTGAAATGAAAATCCTTTCTGTATGTCTCAGTTTCCAGCAGTTTCCTGATGTGTGAGGTTTGTTTGGGGCTGCAGACCTGCGCTTATATAGACAACAGAACCCTGTCTTGGTGACTGCTGCTAGCCCTTGCTCTGAAAGCTGAGATTCATCGCTGCTGAGCAGCTCTGGGGTCTACTGGGAGCCCTTGTGGGTGCTGTTAGAGGGTGCCAAGACATGTCCTTAGGGGTCTAGTGGAGATATGCTTCATTATTTCTATTCTGCCATTGCAAGATATACAGTAATTTGCTTCTAGAATGCGAGAGCATTTGATAAGAAGTGTTAAATTTGTTCTCAGATTGCTATTGTTTTTAATCAGTATCAGTGTTTCCTTAGACAAGATTTAGCCCCATATTGAATAGTCAGGAAATTTTAACTTCCCAGCTTTTGATTACTTACCTTTCTCCTTCAGAGAAAGAAAGTCCAGTAAGATACAAGAAAAAGATCTCTTTAGTAGATGATTCTTTTTCATAGCACTGGGAAGGTTAATGAAGCTTATGCAAAATTTATTGTTTTATGAAGTAGGAAAACATGTAATATTTAAGCAGTGGGGCAGAAGGAAAGTATATGAAAGTTTCTGAGGGAAGATATTTTGGTTTGGGAGGAATTTAAGTTGAATTGGGTAATTACAAGAGAATGATCGTGCCATGCTGAAATTTCTAAGCCGTGTTTCAGTCTAGAGCATAAGTTTATAGCCAAAGTGTGGTCCCTGATATTTTCCTATAGTTTAATTTAATGTGTCCAGTGTTGTTTCAAGCAATGGTAGAAGTTTCTTGTGTTAGAACTTTGGCCTTCTTCAATATTTGTTATGTCCGTTTTTGTTCAGCAGATCAGACATGATATACTTTAACTCCAGTGGTTCATCTGTTCCTGTGGAGACAGTATCCCAAATTATAAAGATCAAAAGTAACCCACTCATTCTATCTTAGACTTTTTTATTTCCTGCATACTTAGTATCCAGTAGCTTTTTGCCTTTAGTATAAAATACTACAGCATTTCAAACAGCACAAATCTGTAATTAATAAAGAAAGGTTGGGTGTGCTACAGTGAAAACATGGCTTTCTAACTTAAAGAATTTGCATTTAACTGTATTTTCCGTTACAAGAATTTTTGCTGTCTGAAGTCCACTTTTTTTGCTGCTTCTTTGCATTATTGCACTGCATCCGTGGCGATCTAAAATGATATCAGAAATTTTCCAAGGATTTTGAAAAAATTCTCAGAGTAGCACCAGTACTTCACAATAATTTATTTAAAAGAAAAAGAAAATAAGTAAATATAAAATAACCCAAAGACATCTGAAGAAAACCCTTCTCTGTAATGGTGCTTAAAGATAGTATCTAGATAAATCAAAATAAAAGAATTTTTGGTCCTATCCGGTACTGTTTAGGTCAACAGAATGAATCAGTAGATCTGTTCTTAAATGGTCTGGAAAAATGTTTCTGTGACTAGACCATTCTCATCTAGATCATAAGGGGAGTAAAAAAATAATACTTTGGTCAAAGAGCACTAAAAATCTAATTTTTCAAAAGCCACAAAATGTTTCAGGACTGTTACTGACAGACAGAAATACTCCATTTCAGTTTATTTTCACAGGTGATTCGGAAGGTCTATGCCTCTTATTAAACTATATCCTTCCGTTATGCATTTATTACAACCAATAAGTTAGGTGTGTTTATAACCTGATAGACACCTGTGAAAAAATATAAATTAGTTTCTGTTGGTTTAGCTGTAATTTTTATGAGATGTCAAATTGTATTTGGAAAGCATCAGCTGAATCAATCCCTGATGGTAGTAATTGCAACAGCAGATTATGCCTTGCCTGTTTGATCTTTGGCATGCATTAGTTTCTGTTTAATTTTCTAATTTAAGGGAAGACTGTAATCTGCCCTGTGCCATACTCACAGAAGTCAGGTTTCTTAAGGCATCTCTTTTTCCTTTGATTAACTTTTATTCCTTCGTCAAACCCTGGGAGCAGAAAAAGGTGAGCCACTGCTCTTAACCATGAGTACCAGGGGTGAAAACAGGCGAGGAATGGGAAAAATTTTGTCAAGACCTTATGCAGGCTGGAAAAAGAGATGTGAAATTACTACAGATACAGGCCAAAATGCGTTTATTTTTGTCAGAGAACACCAATTCAGTAAACCAGAAACTTGCTGTGGAAGTATATTGTATTTGTCAAAAAAATATTTTGCACACAGCCCATCTCGGCTCCCTCGGTTCAGGTGAGCTGTTGTGGCCCATTCCTGAAGTCCTTACATCAGTCAGCTCTTACCTAGGAATATGGCCAGATTCAGAAAATCCATTTTTTTTTTGTTTGTTTTGTTTATTTCAAGTGTGAGCATGAGGTCAATAAGGAAATTAGACAAGCAGATTAAAGAATCAAATAAAGTAAAAAACAGAAAAATATACATTTTTCTTTTAAGTAGCAGTATTCCAGTGATTACCATATCAGTAGCAAAAGCTTTTCTTGAAACTCTGGAAAACATATATGTTGTTTTAAATCAGAAGCTATTTGGAACAAAAGTCTATTGGACGGCAGTTAAAATAATCATAAAGTTTTCAGGTCACTTTGATAAATAAGTGACAGATAAAACATTCAGTTATTAATGCCCAGGCCCTAACAATTGAGGTTGATCCTCAATTTCTTTGCAAATTTAACTTTTTTCTGTTTTCTTGGACCTACCTTTTCCACGTGTGCTGTAGTCTCATTTAAATAAACAAGAAAGGAGTGCAGGCGTAAACAAGTGTAACAAGGTTTATTTAAAGTGTTTTCAGTAGTTTGGTAATTTTGAAGCAATTTAGTAACCCATTTCTTAAAATTGAAAGGTAAATTTGATCAGATAATGAGACTTTGAAATTAGAAGGCCTTTCAACAAAAATTATTTTAGTGTAGTGCTTTTGAGTGTCCAGTGGGAAGACGTTTTGTTTTTCTGGTTGTTTTGTGGAGCTGGAGGAAGATTTTTGGTAATGAGCTAAAATCTTTTGCATGGGA